TAAACCTACCAGGCGTAGGTTTTGATGGCAGACAGCGGTGGTGAGTCGATGGTGGACTGAGGACGAGGGGTAGCTGAGGGGTGGTTGGAGAGAAGGTTTAGATACCTTGTTGAGGATAGGCTGCCGGTGCAAGTAGGTTTAATATTTAATACCGCGGGCTGGTCATCCTGCCGAGGCGATAACACAGGCCCCGCGGGAACCTTCCGCGCAACATCCCTCGGAAAACGACTGCCGCCAAATTCGTAGCCCTCTTCCTTCCCCTACCCGCCATCTCGACGTTTTCTCCTCCAGCTAACACCTTCCATCTTCTGTAGGTACCGTTGCGCTGTCCTTTCTGTCTTTTTTTCGCTGAGCCGTCTAGTCGGACAAACCACGCCGCTGAAACTACTGTTTCTATTACCACTTTTCTATCACTTCTTTTTTCTTTTCGTGAAATGAACGATTGTTGGTGGCCTCCTGGCCCAATAAATAAACTTGGACTGCGTGAACCAACTGTTTATGCTCGTTTCCTTCCTTATCCGTTTTGTTCTTTTTTAAGGCTGCTAGTGAGTCATTTCTAAACCTTTTGCTACTTTTTTTTAATTGTAAGATAGCTAAGTCAAAATGTTCAGTATACCTTTGGATGTTAATGAGAAAATGTGCTAAAATTTTGTTCATGTTTTCATTACAATACTATTTATATGATCCATACGACATTAATATTTTTATTTTTTTGTTTACTTGTTTTTAAATAACTAATTGTTACAGTGAATGAAACTAGTACACAGGTGATACAACAGTTTCTTCATAAAATGTTCATACATTATTTTCTTTTCAAAACTTATATAATGAGAGTCGTAAATTATTAAATATTGGATTCTCATTTTGGATCAATTTAATTTAAACGGAATTGTAAGTTAAAATTTTTTTCTTTTATTTTACTGAAACTTATATAGAAAGTGTAAGAGCTAGCCAATATTTAAGGGCTATTGAGGGGGCCTGGGTTTGCGACGGGACAGTTTATGGTCGGGACGACAGTGATGATAACTAGCGTCGCCTTCGACAGCCCCGTCGTAAACTCAGGCTAAGTCCCAAATATCTGTCGGTCCGGTCAAGTGACAAGGGTGTTGATGACAGTTACGGAGGACTTGGTCGTTCTCTCTCTTGTTCGCGAGACGTTGCCCAGGAGCTATGGGGTATGGTGACGTCAATGGGTTTTCCCTAAAAAGAGTAAGAGTCGGGAAAGCGCGGACGACGCGCATTATAATATACAAAATTCGGTCAGTAAGTTCTCGATGAAGGGACATAGGACGAGTAGTTTGAATAAAGATATCTTAGAAAACCTGCTGTTTGTATCATTCAGTGCCATCTTTACAAAAGTAATATTCTTTTATCTTTTTAATTCCTTTATATTTTACTATAAATGTTATTCGAAATAAAATGAAATAATATTGCATTAAAGTTGAAGAAAGATATGAATGAAGGATAATTAATGTATGACAGCAACAGTAGCTTCGTATTTGTCACTGTTTATAAATATGATTCTTATTTATTGCATTCGAAAGTTTTTACGCTAAATCTCGCTGAGATAAAAGAAAGAAAAAATGGCAAAATCAACTTTTGTGTCGGTCAGTTGGAAGCTGAGAGTCAAGAATAGCGTAAAACAGCTTTATTCGTTTATTGGATCGACGAAAGTCTCGGAGCCTTGTGGGAGTAACAGAGGGGATCTGGGTTACGAAGGGTCCATGACACTTTAAAAATTCATTATGAAATAGCTCACACAAATCTGCACTTACTATGAAGATATAGCGAATCAAGTAGTAGCTCAGCTAATCGTTAAGACACTCACAATTGTTTTAGAATTTCAAATATACATATTTATGTGAAATGTATACACTGTAAAACCTCTTGTATTCAAACACTTTAATACTTCATATATCACCTTTCTGTTATTCATTATTATTAACCAGCTCATTTTGAATTAAATACTAAACTGAATGCTTGTTTTGTATAATCCAACTTAACTCTAATCTAGGATAATGCTTTGCTTAAATCCTTAACATACCGACATGAGGTCAGTAGGTTCTTTTTTAATATCTTCTTTTTCCTTCGATGATAGCTAGAATTTGTTTCGCCAGCTTTCTGGTGAGCGGCTCTTCATTTTCTGTCAAACACCGCTTACAGAACTTCTTTTGGCGCAGAGCGCTGTTTTTGAATACCTTCTTCCAGTTTATATTAACATTTCTCAATAGCCTTGAGATTCAGTGATTAAGGTGTCCATTGCGTTAATTTGAGCTTTCCACTTCATTGCAATTGTTCCAGATAAACACAAAGTCGTATTGATAATACGATACATGCGAAATAAAGAACTAAACACAACAAGAGCAGATAAAGAACACAATAATTCTAAAATGGTAAGGTATAACATAATTTATGAACGAGGGTGTATGTTACAACTCAATAAAAACTAATCACGCGTTGTATGCATTCAGCATCGAGCCGCCAGGGAGGCATTTGCCGGAACGAAAGGGTTAATTAAATTGAATCTGAAGCCCCTGTCATCAGCAACCACCAGTTGTCAACGTGTTGAAAAAGAAATTAATAGTACAAGTATTAATATTTACTTTTAATATCAAGGCAGTTACCGGACCGACTAAATTATAGTTAATATTCATATATTTTTAAACAGTATAAGCAACTTAAACATAAAGGGTACTTTTTTAAGATGTATAAAACATTTTTCATTTATAAGAGAGAAATGTGTTCAGATAAAAAAGTTTTTCTACGATAGGATGACTAGTTCATATTAAATGTTGTATATCTAATAATATACGAAACAAAAATTAATGCGTATTGTAATTTTAGTATTAAAGATAAAATTAAATAAAATTTAAACAAAATTTGTTATAAGATTATAGTCGGCACTGTTCGCAAATGCTTATGTCGGAATTATTTAGAAATTACAAAATTTATGTTGAAAACGAAAAAAAGGAACATCTCTTTGACAATAAATATCTATAATGTAAAGGGTGTCTCAAAATGACCTGACATTTTGATTTATTAATAAAACACATTATTTGTTTGAAAAGTACAAATCTTTTTATTTCAATATAAAGTACAAACATGGAGGTTATGTATGCAACACAATATCCGATAAATGGCCGCCTCGTCCCTGTTTGCAAACGTTCACTCTTTTGTCGAAATTTTCAATAACATTTTGGCATAATTGCGGACTAATTTCATTAATGGTACGTCCAATTGCTTCCTTGAGCTCTGGAATGGTATGTGGATTATTGGCATACACTTTTCCTTTTAAAAAGCCCCAAAGAAAGAAGTCAAGTGGCGTCAAATCGCACGACCGTGGTGGCCAATTAACATCGCCGTTACGCGAGATAACACGACCATGAAACTTCGTCTGCAATAACTGCATTGTTTCTATGCGTTGCTCAGTCGTGTAATTCTGCATGACTAAACCTCAATACTTCCTGATACCAATTGTCAAAGATTAGTACTCTATGTTCGCTACAACAAAAATTGTGCGAAATTTAAAATGTCAGGCCATTTTGAGACACCCTGTATTATAATGAACATTTGTGTTAATTATTACATTTTAAAAATGATATTATTATTCTTATCAGCTTTTATTACAAAAACAAAATAACACAGTGATTTTTTAGTTTCTAAAATAGTGTAATTATTATAATAAATACAAAATACTTTGCAATAAATACGTTAAAAAACCATTGTTTATATCTGGCATAAAACATTGCTTTAAATAATAACTATTTGAAAGGACCTAGCTTAACCGAACAATCGAGCAACAATAGTAATAGGTAAATCAATTATTCCTGTGAATACTGAATATACTATTTTTTTTTTTTGTTTCAGAATGAAACCACACAAAGCAGGAGAGCAAAACCAGCTTCAATAAAATAATTTAATTGTTTGTTTGGTTGAAACAAAAGATATTGTACAGTAAATAGAAATAATTAGAAAACATGTTCAACAATAACAAAACAATGATAATCTTATAATAACAATAAGGTTATTGATTACAATTGCCAACTTTAAATTATTCCTGATATTATTTATTTGACTTTAATAAACAGTAAACAAAATTTGTTTTATACCCTGACAAATCATGATATTTTTTTTATTTTAATATATTAAATGCTTTATTATTGTAAATTAATAGTTAACAATGAAATAATTAATCAATAACTTCAATAGCTTTAATTAATCAATAACTAATCAAAATAAAATTAACCAATAGGCATGATGGATAAGAAAGCAACATATTTTTTTTTAAGATAATAGTAACTAACAACCCATCTTTCGAAATTGTTTCGAGAACCGCTACTCGAAATCACTCCATACGAACACGTTCGTTAAAAGAATTCAGGGCATGGTTGGTATCAAGCAAGCAAAGGAATTCCGCGAATACCTTGCGATCCGAGGCAAATCGAAGATAAATGACTGGTAACAGTAACAGCGACCTTGGTGTTAAGCCGTAGGGCAATCGAGGCTGACCAATTTACGACGTAACTAGTAATCCAGCAGCGAGAGATTTTGCCGTGGTCGAACAAAAATACGACGCAAGGGAAGAAAAGTAGGTAGACAATACGAGGAGAAGCTTTGACGAGACAAGGTTGCGCGGGGCAAGGTTCGACAAGAACAGGAGTAGTTCGTAGAGGTAGTTGGTAAGGGCGTGTAACATTGGGGGGAGATGAGAAAAAGAGAAAATGACTAAAGTTGATATAGATTAAAGAGAGAAAAGGAGGCAGGATGGTCAAAAGGAAAACGAGGGAGGGTAGATTGCAGGAAGGATGGACAAACGGGTGGTCGCGGTTAGAGACACCCATGTCGAGCACGAAGGCAATGGCAAAGATGGCCGACCTGTATCCCTGCAGGGGCGCAAGCGTGACAGTGCTAGACTCCGCCTATGCACGATCTACCCCTTCGTTCCGGTTGTTGCCGGTTCAGCCTGTGGCGAACAACCCCTCTGCTTGTGAGCACGCGCCGCTCAGCAAATCTCCTGAATCACCACCACCATCCCTTGTTCCGTTGTTTCCTTCTTCTTCCTTTACTCCCGCCATCCCCTGTGGAAGAGTTCATCTACGGACCACTCTTCGCCGACCAGTCAGCGCCAAAAAGTGCACAGCTTCAGGACAACATCCGCGTACGGTTCTACGTGGCTAATTAGAATCATCGATTAGTGGACAACTTATCGTTTAAAAATCTTATTTTTTTTTTTTTCTTCGTGGATGTTCGTCAAGTGATTGATCTTTGTGACGTAAATCGATCCGGTTCAACATCGTTCATATCCTTGGGAGGTTTCTCGTCTCCTAACCCGTGGACTTCTTTCGAATCAGCTGCTCCTCAATAGCCAATCATTTATTCATATCCTCCGACGAACACTGGCGCTACCCCTCCCCCTCTCTCTCTCTCTCTCTCTTACTCACCCCTCTCCTCTTTCTCTCTGTTCCTCTGTGTCTTGTTTTCTCCGGTGAAGTGTGAGGTCGCTGGATTCGTAGGAACGAATCGAAATGTTCGATCGGCATTATTAACACAAGACGTGTGCAAGATGTAAGATCCACGTTATCTTGGATTGATTGTAACGAAACCGGTGCACTGATTGATCGTCCTCGGTAGGACGATAAGGGTGAGTGGTGGCTTGCAAAAAGAAAAGTGTGCAAAAATACTTCTGTCACGAATACATTATTTACCCGTTGGTGCGTTCCTAGCGATTTGATGAAAGTGAAGGTGAAAGTACTTTTGTAAAATTGCGAGGACATATAGAGTACTTGCTATACAGATGCGAACCGATACGAATACTGATGTGAAGAAGAAGAAGCGCGGTTGCCGCAACTGGTATCGTTTCGTTTGAGGGTGCTGGTTTTCGACTGGTTTAGGTCTAAGCCCGACAGCTTAGACTTAACTGGCTGCAAAATGATGTACTCACCGGATAAGATGATGGGGAGCAAGGGACTCCACGGGGCACCGATCACTGCTCCGGGTTGTTTCCCTTCGGGACGATATTCGCCGCCGCCTTATCGCGCTGCTCCAGACCCCATGCCGCCACCACCGCGACGCTGTATGCCGAATCCTACCGTGAGTAATCACCATTTTATTCCACTCGTGGTTATGAAAATTACCATACTTTTTCATTGTGAAACAGGTTGATGATGATACGATATACAGAAACTTATTGAAAGATTTCATTAAACGAAAAGGGTTAGGGGTAGTTATAGTTCGTTACTGTGCTGTGTAGTGATTATGATTTACTATTAGCACATATAGTTTCATGGATGTCATCAGTGATAATCACCATAAATAATTAAATTAAATCATCACCATACATAATTAAATAGTTGAATTCTAAGTAGCATCAATATCATATTCATCTTATAAGATAGCATGTAGAACCTTTAAATTGAAAAATGGAACTGTTATACGCTGAATTACTATTATATAATTTTTACATAATTTTATATAATTGATATATAAATCTCGTCCTACATATGTACGTTCGTTTTTATTGTGACATTCGACGTATTAAATTTTCATGATAATTGTGCCCGATTTATTAGTTACATTTGTACTCTTATCTTACAAATTTACGCCGTATGATATTGTATTCTGAATCGTACGACGCGTAAGTAATCATTTTTTTGTCCTACTCGTAATTACTAATTGTAAGATTATTATGTTTCCTCACTGTAAAACGGATTGACAGCAATTTGGTATCCAACAGCTAATTAGAAGATTTTGTTCAACAAAGAGAATTGACGTAGTTTCGGGTCATTATTGTATATAGTGCTTACGATGTACTATGAAATTTTTATAACGATATAAATATTCTTTTACAAATTTAATGAAAAAACTAACATTGATATGACGAAACGAATTTAGTTGACAGTTACCGAACAATGTGTATACGTCGGAGAGTCTTAACATTTTTCTGAAAATTTAATGAATTTCAAATTTTAATAATTTAAATAAACATAAAATACATTTATAGAACCAATTGTAATTGATGTTTTATTTATTTATTTATAAACCAAAGCCCTTGGATAATAGAGTTCGAAGAGAATGATCCCCGTGTAGGCACTGGAGATCAGGGTACCCAAAAAAGCTTTAATATGTAATATTTCCTTTTTGTAAGATTTATTTTCGAATCGTATTCAGAGAGTAAGGATATAGAGTGTCTTTATGAAAAAATCGATTTTCACTACAGCATAAAAAATTGTTAAAGGGAAATATAAAAGAAAATATTCGATTATGCTATTATTCGAGCTATTATTCGGTTGTCCGCATAATGATTAATAACAGAGTTGATTTTATTTTGCATAAGTATATCACACTATTTTTTTATAAGGTTACTAAAAATATAAGAGATATACAAATTTATGTAATTAAATTTTGCAAGTAGGTATTATGACATACAAACCACAAAGTTTTTACTGATTTTTACTTGCCTCGCCATTTTTGTTTGATGATTGAATATTTCACTATATTATAATATATTTAGTGCTACTTATACCGTTTAAATTATCTTTTTGAATTTGCTTTATAGTTTAAACAAATACTTTATTTAATTAAATATTTTTTAAAAAGGTACTCACTTCATCTTATCTGAATTTTGGTAAAAATATTACATTTAATAATATAGTCGTGTTATCATCATTAATAATTGTGCAAAATTAAATTATAATTTAATTTTCGAACCAATAATTTATCAATGCAGGATTACGCGCAGAAATGTTTATCAATCGGAAACTACTTAAATTCAACCAAAATAAATTCTAAGATATTTTACTTTTATTTGCATTGAGGAAAGCTTCTTTTATTACAGATTATTTGGACTGCGTTTGAATCTTTATAATTAATTATATATATATAAGATTAAAAAAGGAAAATTTGGAATACTATCATATTAACATTTTTGTTTATTGCGATGTCGGTCACCGGTGACCAATACTACGAATTTGATTAGCTTAAATAATTAGGATACTTCTAGATACCATTCAAATTACACTAATACTGCATAGCAACAAACCGAAAATTAATTTTGAATATCTTCAAAAATCCATTTTATCGTGTATTTGATTAGACGACTGTTTCTACCGCGATGGTTATTTTGTTCTTCTAAAACCCCTCATATCCTTATGTATATGTATATAAATCATGAAAACTTTTGGATAGCCCTAATACAAGTTAGAAACAAATTATAACTTATATCGACAATCTAATTTTTGAAACGTAAGTAAATAAAATTTTCATACACTTTTGTAGAACTTTTTCAAGCACAGATATAATTTTAATTATAAATAACTACAATTAAATAATTGCTAGCGTGGATCATTATTATTGCATTTACAACGTGATAAAACTTTTTTTTTTGTTGTATATTATTATTATTGTATCGACTAGCATGGAAGAAATCTGTTTCTCTCTCGATAAAAACACAAAAAACTGCGATTAAAGTTTGCAAAGAACACTACATACATTATACATGAAGATTTGTGGCTGCTATATTCCGATAAGTTTAGAATGTAAGACGACGATAAAAATATATATTTGCATCGTACCAAAGCTTTCTCTGTCACATATATTACACGTTTCGTGTACCCATCGTTTATCTTACCTACGTTTATTGTACTTTTATATATATGTATATACGATTATATATATATTTACGATTTGAATTCTATAAATAGAATATTTTCGGATATATCATCTTTAATCTGAAGCGAATTGTCGTTTTATTTGAAATTAATTAACACTTTGCTACTGCAGTGGTCAATGACACTCTCGACTTTAGTAAGGATTACATGATTACATAAGAATTACATATTAAATATTTTTCTTCTTAATACATATTAATTTGTTTAACCTGATATGCTTATAAGTGTAAGTATTTCGTTAATCTTTTTCAACTGATAATATTGGCAAAATAATTGGCAAGCCGTGTTTTTTGGTATTTGTTACAGCTTTCATATTTTGCTTGTTAAATTAATATAAAATTATTATTTGTCGAATATTACTATTAATACATACAATTTCAATAAGAGCGTAGTTGGGTGTAGTTGTTTAACCCACTCATTGTCAGATTACTTTTTTCGCCGAAGAATAAAATTTCTTACGCTGCGCCGCGCCGCTGAGAATTAAATATTGGATCTTCCGCACCCGATACGATGATTGGCAAAGCCATGAGAAAGCAATTTATCCATACCCGATGCCATTTGGAGATGGTGGCTGCTGGGGAGTGGGTATTAGAATTTCGTTTTTAAGCGAAAAGCTTGGGTACGACAAAGCGCGTGTCTAACGGTCCGAGGCTCAAATTGACATGTCAATCCCAATGAATTGATGTGTATTAATACATAATCGTGTGCATGACAATAATTAATTTTTACTACTGCTTTTTAAATATGTAAATACATTTGATCAGTTAAAATAGTTTTTTATTAGTTTAAGGTGTCAATCATTGTATAATTTATTCCAATTATTAGAGTTTAATAGATTTTTTTTATTGAACATACTTGACACCGTTGATGATAGCTGTAACGTAATGTTGGAAGCTTCTTATTGTTACATGTCTTGAATACCTTTATTCATCATGATTTTCATTTTATGACAAAATCTGTAACGGTACTTTTTTGACGGACCAAATTCTTTTGATATGCCGTATCCCGCACCATTAGTGTAAACGACTTTAATTATAGTATTTTTTGTTTCAAGTAATTGCATTCCATGAGGAATTTTTGTATCAAATTATTGTAAATAACCAAGAATGCTACTACTATTTATCGTTAATGATGTCAAGCAATAAAACAAACACTTGAAAATCGCTATATTAAAACAAAAGTTACTGTAAGTAGGAATTATAATTCTTTTTTTTTTTTTAATTATACAAAATGATATACATATAGTATATAATAATAGGGTTTAGTATATTTCTGAAATGTACTGTATTATCCAACTTTTTTGCAATCTAACCGTCCTATGCAGTTGTAGGCACTGTTTGGCTATATCGAAAAAACATATACACCTTTGTAGGTACCCGGTTATCTGTGTCATTGGTAATGCTCGTTTCACGTTGTAACCGAGAAGTAGCAGGTATCTAAACAGAATCAATCGGAGCTCTGTTTCGCTAGCAGTGGCGTATTCCTCTCTTCTTCTTCTTCTTCTTCTTCTTCTGACAAGTTCCTCACTCTCTTGAACGTATCCATCCACAACACGAATCTCTCTGCAGACTGATCCCGCGTCCCTCCATGCAGTTTGAAACGATGGCACACGTCGAACCGACTGGTTTCTCCCCATCACGATCTCTTTCCTCTGCTGTGCCGCGGACCGCCATAGTCTTTAGTTTATTCATGTGACGTAATAGGATAAAAACCGTTGCTACGAGCTGAGTGCCTAGATGAGATTACAGCCGTACTGTTACGGCCGGTAACGTGAATCCGATGTAATCGCTCCTTCCTGCGATTTTTTGGCTACCTCTCCCATCATCCTTGCGTCTCTATTATTTTTCTTCTTTTTTTTCGTCCATGCAACCAATTCCCTCCCACCTAGACACCGGATTTATTTCGAATAGTGTTTTCTGCGGTAAATTCGCCGTCGCTGTCCAAGCGACATACAACGAAGGGTGCACCAATAAATAACGAAGATACATGTTGAAACAAAATATTGATTCCGTGTGTGAATACAAATATGACGTTTAAGGATTTTCAGTAGGCTCACAAAAAAAAATGGTTTATTCATTAAAAAATTGAAAAAACAAAGTGATAATCGAAACTTTGCAAAGTAAAGTTTATAACGAGAGTATCTCTTCTGTTGACAATGAAATAGTTTTAGGGGTTGAAACAGGGGATAGAAAATATCCTTCAAATTATTCCTAATATAATTTCGCAGACAAGAATTATGTTCTTAAGCTGTATTTCACTTTCTTGTGTGCTTTGAACTGCTTTTACATCAATAGTAATGAAATGTACATTAAAGAAAAGGAAGTAATCTAATATCCATTAAAAACAAATAAAGCACTGATCTTTCAAACTAATCATTTAATCATCAATTCTTATTCCTTTTAATATAAAAGTACAATGTGAGAC